ACCGAGGGTCTCGCACCCGCTCAGTGGGAATCTCTCCGTCTCTGTCTTCTTCTTCCCCCTTCCCTTGAAACGCAACCTCCTGCTCGAACCCTCGAAAAAAAAAAAAATCAATGGTCATCGATTCCCGCTGCACTCTGAAGGGCGGGAATCAAAAAGCAGGAGCAAAGGAGATAAAACCACAGGCAAACAGGGAAAGCAACTCGGCTACAGTGTGAGGGCGGTGATGTCAATACAGACGTGGTGGTTCATTAGACGTGATTTCGGTTTGTGTGTTTATGAAGATTATATTTTTAAAAAATATCCAAGTCGTGACTGATGATTATTAGATCAACAGATTGAGCGGATTGCTAATACACACACTGACTCGTGTGCGAAACTGTCTTTGCGCTATTAAGACGTTTTCCGGAAATGTAGCGAATAATTATATATTTATAAATGTTCTGATTAATCAATTATATCAATTAATCATGATTAAAACAGATAAACAACCAAATCACTTTTTTTTCTAAATGTGGCAGGAACAGAAAGACAACCAACAACAGGTGCGTTTCACTCATCTTAATTGATGACTAATACAAATTTATTTGATTTTTAATTAATTTTTTTTAATTTTTTTTTTAATAAATGCTCAGATCCAGCACTTCAATCTACAGGCACAAATATCAAATATCACTTTATCTGTGCTGCATTGAAGGAGCGCTGGGACATGAAAGTGAAACGGAACCCATACAAATTTTGGCCACCCACATGGGTCACACCTAGAAATGCGGCAAGAGCGTAGAGCAAACCATGACAAACAACCACCCGATGATAACAGAGTGAAGGAGAGAGGTTCGTCTGGCCAGGTCACCAGGTGAGACGAGTGAGACTGATTAACAGGGAACCACAGGGACACAGGTGAACGAGATGAAGCTAATTAACCCCAGGAGAGAAACCCACCTCACAGGACAAGAAAATCCTTTAACCTATTTTATTTTTATTATTTCTTTCCTCAAAAGAAATAGTCATTTTTTTGGGCGATATCGCAGTGTTTTGAATAAAGTTTTAAAGCACGTGTCAAACTCAAGGCCCGGGGGCCAAACGCGGCCCGCTAAGCTGTTTCGTGTGTCCATTCAGGAGAGATTCTTAATCTAAGAAATAAAAAAAATAATAATAATTGAGTAAATAATACTCAACTACAGAAACATGTATTAGTCTGTTATGGAGTAGTTACATCTTTACCAGCGGTCCCTGACCTTTTTTGTTCCAAGGACTCGTCAGCCAGCAACACCCATTATCTGTGATCTATTATTTTAAAATATTGTCAGATTATC